CCCAGCCAGCGAATGCATTCGCTGGCTGGGGAATTCTGGGAGTTGAAGTCCGGACATCTTCAAGTGGCCAAGGTTGAGAAACACTGCTCTAGGAGTTGAACTCCACTCATCTTAAAGTTGCTAAGGTTGAGAAACCTGCTATACAGCATGAAGAAGATGACAACATGATTACAATGTTAGTAAGGCTTACTTGCTTCCCATACTCTTTCCATAGATTGTGTTCATCCTTCCAGTACCAGATCCAATCTGTTGTAAGAATATAGTGCGGAGGCTTGGTCACAGAAGATGGTGTGGAAAGCCGTCTAATTTTAGCAGAGCCCCATGTCATACTGGAGAAATTGATATATTGGATGAATGATGTCTGTTCCGGTCCTCCCAATTGCAATATACTGTGGACAATGGGATGTTAAAAAGTTAGAACTTTTTTTTAAAGGTTTGTTCTAACCCCGTGATGGTGAAAATATGGCACGTGTGCCACAAGTGGCACGAGGAGCCATATTTGCTGGCATGGCAGCCCTTGGTAGCCCTCAGCCCCCAGCTGATTTTCAGCCTTCTGGAGGGCCAGGGGAAGCCATTTTCGTCCTCCCCAGACTTCAGGAAAGCCTCCAGAGCCTAGAGAGGGCGAAAAACGGACCAATGGGCCAACCGGAAGTTCATTCCCAAACTTCCGGTTGGGCCATTGAACCGTTTTTCACCCTCCCCAGGCTGTAGAGGTTTTCCTGAAGCCTGGGGAGGGCGAAAAACAGGCCCAAAAGGCAAACAGGAAGTTTGTTTACAAACTTACAGTTAGCCTGTTGAGCCTGTTTTTTGCCCTCCCCAGGCTACGGAGGCTTTCCTGAAGCCTAGGGAGGGCAAAAACGGCCTCCCTGGCCCCCCCAGAGGCCAGAGGGATGCTGTTTTTGCCATCCCCAGGCTTCAGGAAAGCCTCCGTAGCCTGTGGAGGGCAAAAATCCCACCCTCACGCAGGGGTCACAAACGCATGTGCGGGTGGGGGGGTCACTTGCACATGCGCAGGTGGGGAGTCGCTTGCGCAAGAAAAAATGTTAGCCATCACTGTTCTAGCCTATTTCAGAGATGGTGAGCTATGACATTCCTGTCAAGCATACCACAACATTTTGGGTGACCCATCAGTGTTCACTAATACCTAATGCTGAGTGCCACAGGATGGCCTAGATGGGAGGAGGAGGAAATAGACAATTGTTTATTCTCTCCCCTTCCCCTTCCCTCCCTCCCTCCCTCTATTCTATTCTATTCTATTTATTAAATTTATAGGCCGCCCAATCCCTCCCTCCGTGTGTGTGTGTGTGTGTGTGTGTGTGTGTGTGTGTNGGGGGGGGAGGTATGTCTAATAATGGTATTATCCTTAAGACCATGAAAAGGGAATTGGCGAAACAGTTTAAGAACCATGATAACTTAATTATATCCGAGTTTATTAATGCAAAACCTGCTTGCTTAATTTCTAATCAGATGGACCTTTCTTCCTAATAGACAATATTAGACTAAAGGAACCAAATATTATGGCCAAGGCAGATCAACATGGATTTTTTAAAACCTGTTGCTGTTTCCAAACAGCTCAGTTGATACAAGAGGGAAAACACACCTTTAAAATCAATCTCATAATTCTGTGTCCCAGCCGAGAACTTGAGGGTCGTAAATGCTTCAGACTGGTAGGCTTTCTCCAAGTCAAAGGTGGTCACAGTAGCAGCAAAATGATCACCATCCTGACATCACAGAACCAAACAAAAGCATTTGCACATCACTCCAGAAAAATCTAGGTTCTTTGAATTTTATTTTTTTTAAAAAGGACTTTCTTAAGAATTAGAATGCGTTATCTGTTTCTAGATTGCCGATTCAAATGTATGTTGAAAATGCTGGAAACATGAAGGGTCATTTTATTGTACTTGGTGGAGTTGTAAAAATAAAGCCAGAATATTTGGGTTAGGGTAGCCAGTTAAAGATGCCCCTTAATGTTCCTGGAAGAGAGTCCAAATTAACAGTCAGGCACCATAATGTATTTGCTGCTTAGCTCCAGCATTACTGTTCTATTGTGACCAAGGGTCAGTGCAAGGGATTTCCCCATTTTCTTCTCAATGCTGGAGGTGAATCCTTCCTCCATGAAAGAACAGAGAGCTACAGACCGAACAGAAAATGTCATTAGGAACTTTTTCATCCAAGTCATTAGGATACTATGCAGCTATGTTTCTCTGGCTGGCTGGGAAACTCTAGGACAGTGTTTCTCAACCTTGGCCACTTGAAGATGTCCGGACTTCAATTCCCATAATTCCCCAGCCAGCGAATGCATTCGCTGGCTGGGGAATTCTGGGAGTTGAAGTCCGGACATCTTCAAGTGGCCAAGGTTGAGAAACACTGCTCTGGATGAAGCGGTGAATGGATACAGCATCTATCTTTTGTAAAAAAAACAACCCTGAATCCGATTATTAGTTTTACAAAACCTATCGACATCCTTTGAATTGGCTGCCGAACAAAAAGCCAAAAGAGGAGGGGAGGTTTGGGGTTATCCCAGGGTCTGA